GGAGGGGGAGGGGGAGAAGAAGCGGGAGGAGGAGGGGGAGGGGGAGGGGGAAGGGGAGAGGAATTGGAAAGCAGGAGGCGATTACGATATCGAGCTCGTTCTTTACGACCAGGTCTGCAGACCTTACGACCTCTGGTGCGTTTGGCCGTGGAGTTCAAAGAAGGATTGAGGGACCGAATAAAAAATTTCTCAGAGGGCAAAAGGTCAGCATTATTATTAAGAACAAGGATAGGGATGGCGACGTAACTATCTAAGTTCACACGTCTAAGCCAGCGATACAACTTGCGGTTTGCTCTACTCCGTCCGGAAGAAAGGGTAGACACAACATGCTCTTTCCATTTGGTTCCTATCGATCTGGTCGTACATATGTACACATGACGAAACCAAGGAGAAACAATAGCATACACGACAGGACCTGGACAGGAACGGAGGTCATAACCAGTACTGAGAATCAAAGAAAGCAAACAACGAAACTTGTTACCCCATCTGACCTGACCTAAAAGAATAAGCAAAATAACAATCAATCAAAAAATATACGTTAACTCACCAATAGGCAAAGAACTACGATAATCCCGGCAAAGAAGGGCAAGAGACCAGAGATAGGATACGCTCAGGGAGTGCCCCTAACCCTCGTTAGCCTCTTCCACAAATGTGGAATAATGTTGATCACGATCTTCCTCCTCCTGATTAGTTCTCGATCTCAACCATTCGTCAAAGTCGCGTCGAGCACGAATCTCCGCCACATCAGCCTTGGCCTGATCTAGTTTAATGTAGGAAATGCCTTCATCTTGGCACAACTTCTCAAGATCATTCTTCTTCCCAACCCTCAGTTCTCTCAGGCGTTTCTCACGAAATACTTCCATCTTAGTAACTTCAAGCTCCTGTGCATCATCGACAGCTGAGCGGCCTTTAGTACTCTTGGTTGGGTCAGCCTCCTTGCCAGCATCCTCCCTCTCATCGTCAGAATCAATGTCCACTGACTCGAACGCAGTCTTCAAGTTCCTCGGAGTAGTTTTCTTGGTCGCTGAGCATCGAAGCGCAATACGAATCTTAGAAGCCCCGGCCTTAGCCATCCTCTCCTTAAGACATTCAGCCTTGCGTAGCGCCATCTCCTTTCCAGCCAGTGCCTCCTTGTACACTTTGTAAAGCCCGTCCATATCCTTGGGCGCATACATCGCTGTCGAAGAGTCGTCCGCCTTGGGTTTATCACGAGTAGGCGCTTCAGGAGGGCTAGTATCAACAACCGTCGCAGCGCTTCTCTTCCCGGCTTGGCGAAGTTCTTGAAATTTCTTCCTTCAACCCATTGAACTCCGATCGAAGATGCGAGTTCTCTTTCTGTAGAAAAGCCACCTCAGTACTCTTGTCCTCCAAAGCCTTACGGATGCCGCTGAGCTCAGCGATCTGTATCTTAAGAGCAGGTATCTCGTCTTTCTCCTTCTGGGAATCCGCCAGCTGTTGTTGTCCGATGCACGACTTCAGTTCTGCAATCTCCTTTCGTAGTCTGTCCTCTTCGCTCCCAATGTCTTGTGCCCTTAACAAGGAATCCTTCTCACGTCGGAGAGCCTCCAGCTCAGTTTCTTTCGACCCGCCAGCACAACTCGCCTTCAAAGCATCTAACTCCTTCCGGAGTTTGGCAACTTCAGACTCCTCATCGCCGGGTAAGTCAACTTTCCTTCCCAACGCCCATTCACACAGCCTTGCCTCCTGCTGTTCCCGTTCATTTTTTGCCTCCGCCCGTTTGAGTTCTTCAGCCTGCAGGCGTTTCTTCTCCTCTTCAAGCGACAATAGTCGATCTGCTTCCCTCTTGCGTTGCTCTCTTTCTTCGGCTTGTTTTGTTAGTAACCCATAGATCTTGTCGAATTTCTCCTCGTACTCACGATCTCGATTACCTCCCCAATTGTGAGAGACTCTCTGTTGATTATTGTAACCGCCGCCATTACCACCGTAGGAATTCCTACTACCACCATTATAACCACCACTGTTGTACCCTCTCTCATTGTTACCAGTTCCTCGGCTCTGCGGAGCTTGATAAGGAACAATCGCGTTAGACATGCTAGCAGCGTTACCCCCTTGAGGTGCAGGAAGAATGCCGCCAGCCCTACCATTCGAGGAAAACGAAGATGACGAAGAGCCCGTACCTCCATTCCAAATCCTGGCGGCCGTATCGGCTCCAAATGGTACATTTTGAAAAGGGCACTCCTGAATGAAGTGTCCTGGTAACTGACAAAAGTGGCAGACGCTTTGCCTATACATTGAAGGGCTAAAACGTCCTTCTTGTAACCACTAAATCACCAACGCGCGAGTAGAGAAAGAAGGGAAGTACAGGATATTGACGAAAGGAACGGAGAAGAAAGAGAATAGAAAGGGAGAATGGAAAAACAAAAGAAAATGTAGCAAAAGAAGACGAGTGCATCAAACGGAAGATAGGTCAAGAGAGGGCCTGGTCTCTTGCAGAACGCGGATCCAACAGCTGGCTGGGAACGGCCTCTATGAAATGCCCCTCTCTAAGAAGAATTGGGTGCTTGTGATACGAATGAGAAAGGTGGAAGGGAAGCGGGAAGTGGGACTATCCCTAGTAGGAGAAGAGGACAGACTTCATTTTGATCTTTTCAGGAAAAATATTAAAAAGGGCAGCACCCCTAGCAGCAGCCCAGGTGGTATAATAAATAGTAATAATAATTTGGGAAAATTTTCGAAATGCCCCTGAAGTTTGCGTTTATTTGCGGCGTGCCCCTGTGAAGGCCGACTTACCCTGTTATGCCCCTCGGGCCTCTGAACTTTTCCACAGGCCCCTGTCAGCACGGGGCGTAACTTTCTGATATGCCCTTACTGGGCCGCTGGTTGCATTTCGTCGGTCCATCCTTGAAATGCCCTCACGAGGGGCACACATCTTTCTGTGATGCCCTTGAGAAGTGGCGGAAGTACTTCTAATTCGAAAATGGTATGTACTTCACGCGTCTTCTTGGCGCCATCGCCGGTGCACGCGCACGCGTCTGTGTGTGTGTGTGTGTGTGTGTGTGTGTGTGTGTGTGTGTTCACGTCATCTGTGTGTGTGTGTGTGTGTGTGTTCACATCATCTTTCGTTTTCTTGTTGGTTGCTGTATGTGTGTGTGTGTGTGTGTGTGTGCGTGTCGTTATGTCCCTCCACTTCGACATTCTGGACGTATAGAGAGATCGTCGTGCATTCAACTTTGGAGCATCAGAATGTATCTGGTGCATTGACAACGCCAGATACATTCAGACATGGATGCATAGGGGCTCTCTCTCTCTCTCTCTCTCTCTCTCTCTCTCTCTCTCTCTCTCTCTCTCTCTCTCTCTCTC